ATGTAATCAATTTTTAACTTTAAATTTCAATAGTTAATAAAATGAATTTTTAAATTTTAAACTAAAATTTTAATTTCTAAATATATATTAAAAATTTATTTTTTTAACAATTGAAATTGAAATGTATTAATTTTTATTTTTATATTATTATTTACTTAATTTTTTTATAATTCAAATATAATAATTATCTAAATAAATAAAATATTTGTAAATAACGAAGTGTATTCGTTATTATCCTCACCCTTACTATTAATTAATTAAAATTAACTCTCTTGTGGCTGATGGGAAGGAGGAATTTGGATTGGGCTGGGCCTGACAGAAACCAAACCGAAAAGACATGAAGCTTCTGGCTCAAAAATCACTAATGAATCCATTAAGGCAAAAACGAGCATTTACCCCCTCATTTTATAAAATTAATAGGTTTTAACTTTTCATTTTATAATATGATAGTTTTAATTTTTTATTTTATAAAATTGATAAGTTTTAGTCCTTCACCTTACAAAATTGATAAGTTTTAGTCCTTTACCTTACAAAATTGATAAGTTTTAGTATTTTTTCTTATATTATGATATTTTTAATCCATCAACGATACAAATTAAAGAAAATAACTCTCATCTAACATCAGGTTATAACGTTCTGTTAGTTTTATTAATTGACTGTTAACATCTGTTAGCATTTCGTTATAAAAAATATGAAATTTAAATTTAATTTTATTTATTAGTTTTATTAACGAAATGCTAACGAATACTAACAGTCAACTAACAAAATTAAAAATCAACTAATAAAATTGATAATTAATTAATAAAATTAATAAAATATTAAAATATGATGTTAAATAAATATCATTTTCTTTAATTCATATATATAAGAGATTAAAAATATTATAATATAAGGTAAGTGATTAAAATTTATCAATTTTATAAAATAAAAAATTAAAATTTATAAACCTTATAAAATAAAAATTTAAAAATATCACATTATAATGTTATGAATTAAAATCTATCAATTTTACATGGTGAGAAGCTAAATATTGAATTTAGCCATTATCGCCGAGAAGCAATTTCACGTGTTGCTGACAGTTTTGGACTGTTGCACAAAGAGTCATCTTTCTCCACTTTCCAGTTCTACCAGGAAGACTCAAAGTCGTGTGGCTGTCAAGCAGTCAAAGCTTGTATGTTCGGAGAAGGTAGCAAGTGCTTAGTTTTTTTTATACTGTCATAAATTTAAATTTTTGTAAAAAAATTTATATTTTTAAAAATGAAAAAAATTTTAAATAATAAATTTTAAAAAATTGAAATTGAAATTTAAATTTTTTTAACTTTTCTTATAATTCACTTTTTATTTATTTTTTATTATTTTTAAAATTAATTTTTAAATTTTATTTTTAATAAAAATTTAAACTTATAATTTATAAACACTATGTAAAAAAATAAAAACTCCACCAAACAGATCCGAAAATATGGTAGATTAGCTTCTCCAAAACACGTCAGAAAATCAGGAAACTCCCAAATTTTCTTTGGGATTTAGGATTTACAATCACTTCTTTATGCAAAGTTCATTTGATTCCATGATGTCATCTCTAGGTGTTGTTCGGAATCCACTGCTCATCCTCCTAACTAGTTTCTTCCTTCTTGCAGCAGCTCAAGAGGGTTCCCGCAATGTCATCGTGGGCGATGCTCTCCCTGCCGATGATCGAAACCTTACATGGCGATCACCATCCGGTGATTTTGAATTTGGGTTTGGCCGTGTTCCAGACCAACAAGGTCTATTCCTTCTTGCTATCTGGTTCGCCAAGATAGCGATAAAACCATAGTTTGGTCTGCAAATGAAGGCGACCCCGTAGAGATAATGGTTGTTAAGATCGCGAGTTACATCGTAAGATCGTGCGATCTTACGATGTTAACTGGGTTCAGCGATTTGAATCGTACAAAAATTGAGGATCTTGAATAGAAAATTCAAAATCGCGATCAAGATCGTGAGACTGTAAGATCTGCGATCTTAAACGATTCTGGAAACCAAATCTTAAACAAATTTAAAAACCGAATCTTAAACGATTTTGGAAACCAAATTCTTCTGAGATTATAAATGGTGCCTAATTTTTCATATAAATCTTCAAAATTAGAAACGAAAAGACCTCTTCATCTCCTCACTAGCATCAAAATAGTCGGTTAAATTTTGAATTTCAAAGTTAGTTGTAGTTCTTCTCCTACGCCACTGGGGTGCTTGCGTTGCCGTTGCTGCTGCCGCCGCCTCCGTTGCCACTGCAACTTGTCGAGCCGTCCCCTGCTTTGAAAACCAAAAAACTCCAATTGATTTGTACTTTCTTTCCTTTGTCTTTTGTCTTTGGTTTATTTTTTTAATTGTAGTTTAAT